ACAGTACGCGCATAACGCGTACAAACAGTACACGTGTTAAAGGAAGCGATTACGATAAAGAGGGGAAAGCATATGCACCACACGAAGCAGTTACTTGGCTGCCAAGGAAGCGAGTGTGGCGCTTTCACGACGAAAGGTGCGCTGGTTGCTGAGCAGGACTTCGAAAGCACTCCGCCCCCAAAAGCGATCCGCCCACTAGTTTACTTGTTGATTTGGACGAGCTGCGTGGCCAGCAGCGGCGCAAATGGAGCATCTCGATTAAAGCGTGATTTGGCATGGTGCCATCAAACGCGTTGCGGTGAACTCGTTCATACGTCCACTTTCTGAGCTTACCTGTTCATGAGTGAAAACCAACGGCCAAAAAGGGGGTCCCGTTTTGCGTTTTCTTGACGGATTTTTCTGCTTTTTTCGCCACTGGCGTACCATTGAGCACCACCACGTCACAATAAGCCCTTCTTGAATTTTCCGTAATCGCTGCCTTTAACCCATAGAAATGTTATGCAGCACCTCGTACCACTGCGCTGCTCTCTTGCATCATATAGCTGTCTTCATGAAAATGAGCTTCGTAAAGGAGGAGACTTCAGCTGCGAAAAGTTTGGCTTGTTTCAAACAAGCCGCGTCGAATCTGTCGTTGACAATAATTATGCTAGTGAATTTATTACCCTGGACTCATCTTCGTCTACATAATTTTTTCATCACACGATAACCCATTCCAGAAAGACTTTCCTACCCGAACGACATACCTCCTCCCACTGCCGGAGGTGCAAATGTCGATCCTCCAATTGCACAGAATCCACATGATCTTGGACACTGTACTTGCATTACTTGGCGATACCTAGGGTCGCCACATAGTTGCGTCGTGTACGGACAGTCCGACCTGCCGGTGCGTGGGTTCACAAGATCGACACAAGCTGTAAGTGGTGAGTGAGAAATGGTGCAGTTGACTCGTTTAAATGCAAAATAGACAGTAAAAATTTTTATGGCAACTTGTTGACTACTCAATGACGAATCAACAGTGACGGCAAAGAACAAAAACAAAACAAGTACTGAAATAAAAACTGAAAGAGCTTCCTTGAAAAATCATTCGTATAACTTCGTATAATGTATGCTATACGAAGTTTCAATGTTGATCATTCTTTGGAATGGCGGACGTGATTTCTTACCTATGGTTTAGGCTTGCGCCGGCTACACATGGGTCAAGCTGGGTTGGCGTAATCTAAAGGTGAGAGGTATATGAGTTTTGGTGGTTGTTTAGGGGGTGTATGAGGTCAACTAGTTCTGCAAAAGGGTTGCATTTCTGGGGTTGGATGGAGTTTGTGGTGATTTTTGACGGGTTTTAATAATCTTGACCCAACTCGATTAATAGGTCAAGGTAGAACTGGGATGTCGTTGTTCTTCGCTTGCGCATTCAACCTCACCCCCTCATCCCGCTCATTGACTGCCTTGGAGGAGAGGAAACGGTTTTGCTGTGTCGATGTCTCGGGTCTCAACATAGTCTAGGAAAGGCCATGGTGTGAGGCTGGTGGGAAGATTACGAACGAGGGATTGGATCACAACCTCCTGATAGTGATTCGCTGGTGAGAGGGTCGCTTTGAGGCTATAGAGAGGGTGGGGTGGGGGATGAATTTTTGGCATTTGAGCAAGGGCAGTTTGACCAAGCACCTCCTCCCCTTCTTACGGTGTGAATCTGCTCTTGTATGCTTATATACCGAAGCCTTCATTGTGTTAGCATACCTACTAGGCTTTCATCCTAATCAAACAGTCATCAGAAAGAGATAGCTCACTCACCGCTAGTAGTTACAGCTGTGCCAGTAGAAACAATGCGAATCTAAACTCAAAAAATCGTCTGAATAATAGTTCGGCTATGAAAAAATTGTTAAATGGGGGCTTGCTGAAGATTGCAATGAAATTCGAGATTACTTACTTGGGACACTTCACAGCAAACCTGACCGGTGGCGGTGTTAATGCACTGTAATGTGGCGTTCATGCAGGCTCCATTCACGCAAGCTGTAAATCCGAGATTACAACATCAGAAGAGTCTTTTTCGTGCACCTTTCTCAGCCTAGGACTTTGAAGGTTTATACGCTGACTATTGAGGAGATTACCTATACATAGCAGGATCACTTTTTCGTTGGTCATATTCCAAAAATCTGACCACCCACCCCTTTTATAGGGTTCGATACGATCCCTCACCACCACCATCAGCCTCAGGGGCAGGGTCAACCGTGCCTTCCCACATTCCCTCCTTTAGGGGTCTCGATGCGACCCCCACCACCACCATGAGACTCAGGAAGGCTCCCCCAATACAACCCTGCCTAGCATACCCCGACCGCCACCCTCGCCAACATGGCTATTTCTATTATACAGTCGATATCCGAAAGTTGGGGTAGGCGTGTCACCGGAAGTGACGTGCACTTGATAGAAGTTGCGTGGATAAGCTGTTGCCAGCATGCTTTGCTGATATCCAGCGATGTATGTTGGAAGCAGCTTATCCACATAGATTCTATCAAGTGCACGTCACTTCCGGTGACACGCCTACCCCAACTTACGGATATCGAGTATATATATTCGAATCTGATACCAGCAGACACAACCCAGCTCCGCCCACGCCCACTTTTCCTCCAAAAAGGCGTCGAGCGATGGAGGGGGGGGGGGGGAGAGGGAGAGAGGAGAGGGAAGGAGGTACTACTGTGCAATGAAACGGCTAATTTCCTCTCTACCCCATCCATCCTACCCCATGCCGTACACTAATTACATCCTCCAAAATCCCTCAAAAAACCGAACTAAATCACCTTACTTCACCCTCCACCTCCACTCAACAAATTACTAATCCCACTCCACCACCCCTGAATGCGACCCCTTCCCAAAATCAACCACAAATGCGACCCCCTCGTTCGAATAGTGCGAACGCACGGTTGACCCCGCTTAGGGGTGTCCCCCAATGCGATCGTCCTTTAGCCTGTTGGCCTGCAACTCAGTATGAAGGACCCGAATGGCAGAAGAACTAAGTCAGACCCCTCAATGGATAACTCCGCAAAGCACGGATATGAGCAGAGTTATGCGCAAGAATTCTCTGTGGAATGTCTATGGTTTCCTCAGCAGCCCGATATCAAACTGATTTAGTAAGCTAAGGAGCAGACTGCTAAAAAAAAACACTCCTCAAAATGAATACTTCGCATATATTACTCGCTCCTTGTGTCGCAGGGCGCTTGGTTGTGTTAGGCTCAAGCAAGAAAAGACATTGGACGCCATGCACCCTTATGTCACTCTCAGCCCTAATTTGTCCGAGCACGTTCTCTATTATGGATAATTTGAGGGTTGTGATTTAAGTATACAGTTCTTGAACTTCGCCTACCAAATACATCCGCTATGCCCCTTACCCTTTAATGGCAATTGTGTACAAATGGCAGTTGCGAAACCAATGATGGACAAGCGCCTACTTTATGCAACTAAGTCCCAGGAAAAGGTCTTAAGTAATATTATGGATCTTAAAGGAATCTTGCGCGGAAAATTCTTGCACTCTTTCCTAACATGAATATGTCAGTTGTGATCACTGGAAATAGCACACAAAGTTTCACGCATGAAGATTCGGTTTCTGAAGAGAAACAAACGTACAAAAACTACACGTTATGGACCATCGAAGGACCAGGAGGCAGAGCCAGGCGAGGCATGGAAAGAAGACGGCGTTTGGCCGGCTACGTACCAGGCGACGCAATGAGAGAATCGGGTTAAAGCGCGCGATTTCGGAGAGTGGAGACAAATCGATCGATGGAATAGGATGGAGTAGAAGTGTAAGATGTGAATGCAACGAAGCAGAAGGCCAGAAAGAGCTTCTAGTGAATGCACTCCAAGAACCAAGTTTGAGCATCCCCGTCGCCAGCATTCGTGAAAGACGTCCGTGGGCAATTCGAACGCGTAGCAGCCTTTTCGAGTTTTCGAATTTCTAATCAAAACGAAAGCAATACTTCAGTTCTTTTCACTATTATCGTGGATAATGAGTCTCAAGCCAGTGATTTATGGCTGAAATAGAATCATGATTTTTCCGCGCAAGATTCCTTTAAAGGCAAGATTCAGGATTGAATTATGAGTTAATTCCACTTAAATGTGAAAGTAGGGGTAGGTAGTGGACCGCCAGTGCAGAAAAGAGAAAAAGAAATCGTGAAATGCTTAGGAAATACGAGCCATTTCCTCTACGGTGCGGAGAAGTTCAAAAGGCCGGCAGGGAGATGAGAGATAATGTGAGCGCGGAGAGCGCTAGAGAAGTCTAAGTAGAGAGAGCATAGCAGATCAACATTCCGACGCAGACAAGATATCGAGCGGTGGGCGGAGCGTGTCGCAGCAGGTGGAGCGTGTCAAAGTTCTTAGCGCCTAGCGTCTAAATAACGGTTTTCGAAGTAGGGAAAGTGACGCGACCCCTACACTTGCGTACCTAGCGCTTCTAGCCACCGTAAAGGCTCATTAAGTGGGTCTGAGCCCGAACTTTGCCTTTAAGTATATACAGTGAACAACCTCTCAGGATTCATTTGACGCTGAAATTCAGATTCTCTGAAAATCGAAGAGGGAATAGCTCAAGTGTGAACTTACGTCCAGCTCCACCGTTAAGGCATTCGTAGATCTGTGCTTCCACTTCTGTGAACATAATCCGGAATATAGCTGCTGCAAATGGGAAAAGGACTGTAGTCATTGCGTAGATAGAGTCCACCGCTGAGGACTCCTTCCGATATGCTTATTTATACCCCGTCAAGTCTCCAAGTACAAACGGCTGTGCCAACGTTGGATGAGAATTGCACCCCTTCGGACAATCGCTATTATTCCTACTGGCAACCACCATAAAAACCTTGTCTAGCTTGTTGTACGATGTTTTGTGCAACCTGGAAGGTCTCCGCTCTAGAATGTAATTTATTGTGAAAAGTTCATCCAATAGACAGATAAGATACCAATTTCAGCGAGGTATAGCATCAGTTGATGATTGCGTAGTAATATTGCTGAATTAAAGGCACAACCCAGGCAGAGGTCGTGTGAACGCCTTCCTTCGATTGTAGTCATAGACCCTTAAGAGGGCAATCACAAATGTGGCGTTCTTGTGCACAGGAAACCAACCGATAAGAGCGTTTGGGCCTTGCAAAGTAAGCTGCCCAAGCTGCAGACTTTTTCTCTTATCAGACTGTTGTCTGGCGCTAGCTGAAATTTTTAGCGGATCTGCTCATCCCATACTTTCTCTTCGCGCTTAGTATTCATTCCTTGCACAGAACCGTATAGCAGCGTGAGCGGTAGCCTTACCTAAGGTTTTTGCCGGCATTTTTTCCTTTTTCAGTTTTAATGCTGGCCCACTTCCACATATTGCTTCGAGTACAAGAGCACCAATGTGATGTGGCATGCCTTTAAGGTCGCTGAAATGAGAGATTATGGTGGCGGGTTGCCTCTTGAACAGATAAAAGAAATTTAACATGAATTTTCTTTATTTATAGAGCCCAGGACCAGTAGCTGAACTCTGACAGACCTGTCCGATATCATAAGACTATGCGTACCTCTATATGCTCTACTTATCTTTCCGGGAGGATTTTCACTCCGTTCTATGATAGGGCATAGTGGTAGTAGTCACTCTTGACCGTACTATGTACTGACAAGAGAAACGTCGCGTTCCACCGGTGAGCAGGCATTTAGTTCCTAACGGATTGCAAGTAACTTTAATGCAGGAGTTCGTTGAATTAATCATCGAAACGACAAACAGAAATATGAATGGAACGTTTTGTACCGTGACTTCTCCTTTAAAGCAACAGTTCAGGAACGGTTTCGCGGGAAAAAACCACCAATAATGAAGTTGTAGATGAAAACCAGACGATTAATGTATGAAAAACTGGAAAAAAACGTCGGGGAGGGTCTTAGACAGGTACTCTCCCTCTGCCGCTCAGCAATGGATAAAGACGCACGTTGGACGAGTTGTCTGAACGTGCCCGCTGTAAACGCGCTCCATTTTTCAATCAATTTTCCCTGTGGTCCCAAAACGAGCACGATTGCCGACGCGTCCAATGACGGCCGGCAAGGGGGCGGGATTGGGGAAATCCCCAAGAACACCCATGTTTGAGGGACTTTCCACCCTGTTTTTGAGTTTCTGAGGTAAGTTCGTTTATTATTTCCACTGCATATGTTCTTCACTAGGGCTCGTGTATCCCTCAGTAGTAGTGGCATTGAAATTTTCGGACCCTCCCTGAACTGTTGCTTTAATGGCAGGATTTTGTGTTAATTTATCATGAAGGGATAGTATTCTCGCGTTTCTGTCCGGCAAGCCTAAAATGTTTGTATCCTTGCATTTTTGCAAAAAAAAATTCCAGCTTAGAATGAAGGCTGTCAGACAGCAATATTTTGACTAACTCACTTCTACAAATTCCAGCTGGGTCGAAATGCAGCAAAAACAGCTTGAAACATATAAGTGGTGTGTAGTCAAGGAAGTGCTATCCAAACAGTTTATCACTGATTTCAAAGGCTCCCCCTCCGGGCGAATCCGATCATGAAGTTCAGAAAGATGGTTTATACGTTTCACAAGAACGAAACGTATAAGGATTTTATTTTGTGAAAACTTGCGAGTGTATCTTGCGGGCAAAAACAGCAGCGGTAACAAACGGCAACAACGAAATAAAGTTAGTACGGTTCTGCGCTCTAATTAACTTAAACAAAGTACGATAGTAGGCGAAAAAGTCAGTTAGTGCTGTGCTGAAAACAGGCAGCATTTCTCAGTGTAGTATTGGTAGGCCGAAAAACGTGGACCAATGGATATTCTATGAGTTGGACCTGCAAGAGTGTAGTCGTCGGTGTGAGCTGTGGTCGGCGCTTCGCAAATAGACTCTTTTCTCAAGAGTATTGTTACCTACGAAAATGTGCCAGTTGAAAGTCATGCTCAAAGCTCGCTTCAGGCCTGATCCACGACAGCTCCCTGAAAATTATTGGATTAATCAGGGTAAGGAGTAAATTTAGAAGGTGGATTACAGTCATCGGAAACCTCAACAACTCAGGCCGACCTCAGCTGAAAGCGAAGAACTGACCTTTTCCAACAGCAATGCGCGGCCATACGTCGCACAACTGACATTTCAAAACCCGAACAAGTTGGGATACGAATCCCTGAATCACTCACCATATTTCTTGGTCCTCCACCTCATAGACTACCACTTTTGATGAGCCCGAGAACTCTTTGAACTATTTAGGCAAGCTCGTCAGATTTAGTTGCTTTGGCCCAAATTATAGCTCGTAGATACTTCAGATTTACTTAACAGAAGCACGGGTGCTGTGATTCGGCCTACGCCTTGTACAGTGATTATACTTATGCTGCACTTTGAAGGCTAAGATTCACGCTTTGAACCGGGTTCCACGCAGTGAGAAGTCAAAATCGAAACATGAAGCTTCGCCTTCGTGGTTGCCTACGTGGTTGCGTTTGGTCGTCTGCTCTGCTAGTTTCTTCGCAAAGCCTGTTCATCAATTCTTAGTTTTCTTGGATACAGGCATGAGAAATGTCAAACGTGTTCCCGTTGGTGAACATACGGGCTCATTTCGCGGCTTGCGCCCGATGCTCTCGACATTTTTAAGTCTACTCTTTCTCTTTTTATTCTAGGAAGGCTATGCTGTCGGTTATGGTATTTATAAGCTTGGATTCCAAGTTTCCTATGCACAACTCTTCGCATTGCTTATCCTGATACTGTCCTCACTGAATCGTGAATATGCTTTCTGACATACACAGCCACACTTTTAGATCCGTAACTGACCGACTTCTATGAGAATGACCATTATCAGTGCTGCAAGTGAGAGTCGTGTGACAGTGTGACGACACATGCTTTGGATACAACAGATCTCGGAAAGAATCCATGCCACAGCGCGTGAGGCTAGGAATCCCACTGTTCCGGATTAGGTGTAGTCATTCACCAAACGAAGAAGAATGAGAGAAAGCACATCATTACATACAAAGGACAATGGTGAATCTTGAGGTATTGGCTTTGGCACTGCCCATTATTCAGTAAATCCATTGCTATTTTAAAGGAATCCTGCGCGGAAAAATCATGATCCTATTTCTCCCATGAAACACTGACTTGAGTCCCATAGGTCACGATGAGAAAGAAAAGAACGAGAAATAAGTGTTTGTTTTGTAGAAAAATTCAAAAAACCGAAACACCTATTAGTCGTTCAAATTCCCGCCAAGCTGACGTCACGAGCGTTTGCGACGAGGTACCTCGTTTCTTGGAGTGTCGTCACCAGGAAATTTGATCCACATTGCAGCGAATGAAGTGCTGCATTACGCGTTTAAAGTTTCAATGATAGAGGCGCAGCTTACAATACTACTCAGCCAGTTCGGATTTTTCTACGATCCAGTCAGTTTAGCGATTTTGATTTAGCTTACTTCGCATTTCTTATTTGGTTCACATCCACTTAAATTTATGAATGGGAACACCTCACCTTATCACGACCATTACAGTTCTCCCTTGTGATTTTTTTTTGTTTAGAACACTGGACTTTTTTTTTTTACCACACCGACGTATGTAGCCACTTAGCTATATTTAACACATTGACGACAATGCGAGTTTCGGCTTTTTTGGCCACGTGGGACCGCGGCGATTTTGCGGGCGCGCTCGCCTCAGGTCGTTCAAGCAGATTTTGAGTGATAAGTACATGAATAATGATCAGTACAAAACCGGATGAGTAAATTGTAATAAGCACAACCAACTCAGGTTGCATAGTAGTGAAATTTCGATGGAAAGACATGAAGTAACAATGAAACAGCGAAATATGGCAGAACTAGCTGCAATGGGCTTCAGAAGCAATTTTACGTCGATTAATTCCATCAAAACACACATATTGTCATCTCTAAGGTTCCGTATCTACTTCTACTACTATTTAAATCTTCACATTCATAAAAAGAAAAAGTAAACGAAAAATTTATTAAACTGAAGATTTCGTATGGTTCAGAAATCCTCCTCTAAATTAAAGCATACGTGACCATTCTAAGGGCCACTATGTTTGTAGCTACGTCAAGGTCTCTTCCATGGAATGAATACAAGAAACTTCTAAAAGAATCAGGCGTGCGCGAAAAAAATGAGTGTAATGGGTGCGGGGGATATATATCCCGCACGGTCCGACATGGCCTGCAATGCGCGGGATATATATCCCCCGCGTTGTCGTCAATGTGTTAACGAACGATACTCAGCAATATGAGGTGTATACGGGGTGAGCGAGTCTTTTCTTTTCCTCTATTTTGTCATTCTTTATGAGAGATTAATTATTTCAAATATGTTTTCTATCATAAGGGTTGTGTTGAGATATGGGGCAAGCACTTTCCTCTTATACGAAGCGTTTGCCGCGCTTTGAGGAGGTTACTTCACGAGGATATTGTCGCGATGCGACTGTTGCCGCCGGGCGCACCGCGCGCCCCGGCCCATCCGCGCTTGAAGGCTAACCGCGCATTGCGCAGCGCATTGCGCCGTTGGCACGCCCCCTACGGTCGAAGCCAGTAGTCAGTCCTCTGCGTCTGTGACTGGCAGCCGGTGACTGGTCTCTCTCACAGGGTAACGCGAGGAGGTTGCTCCAGAGCGAGGGGGGAACGTCCCCCTCCGAGCCTCAGGGTGACGGAGCGCCCGTCGCTAGCCGGCCAGCGTCCCTCCCCTGCTCCCCGTCCGGGAGCAGCCCGGTTGGGTGACCCTTGCT